CCACTTCACAGGGAGGGATTCCTCCCCAGAACCCCCTGGATGCCACGGGCGAGGGCGCCTCAGGAGGTCACCGCGTCTCACCCACCCCCAGGCCACCTTCCCTTCTCCTTTCCCCCGGTTCCAAGCCCAGCCTGGCTGGCGGCAGACACGGCCCCGGTGCCGAGCATCGCCACCGCAGCCCCCGAGCTTTGCCGGATTTCTCCCCCAGGCGCGGAGCGAGCATCCATTCCCCTCGGAGCTCCTCTCTCGCAAGGTAACCGGCATTATATCCGGACCAATTGCTCCAGCATGATCCTCCTGAATGTTGCACAGCATGTACACGGCGTCTTATGGAAAATACATGCCCCTGGGTGAGCCTTTTAATAGCGCCGGCTCCTGCCCGGGGGGCGGGGGGGCCGCGCTCTGCCACGGCGCTGCCAAGGAATGATTGAAAAGTTGGGGCTCGCCGTAGGAAACCCCCCGCTGCGGGGAACAACGTGTTTTCATTCCCCTACCAGGTAACAAATGAAAAGAATTGCCATGAATGCTAATGGAGAGGGGAGCAGGACGCTGCGGAGGCTGCCGGGGCTGGAGGTGGGGATGAGGTGGGCAGGGATGAGGGGATCCAGCCCCGGGAATGCGGGAGGTGAGGGGGAACCCCCGGGTTTGGCAGGTTGGAGATGATGGAAAACATTCCCTGGCGAGGGGCTGGTGGTTGCTACAGGGAGGATGCTCTGGGGTGCTGGACCAAAATAAACTTCTTTTTGCGACAAAATGCAGCTGAGGGGATTTGTCGGTGCCAGAAATTGCCCTTGGTGAGTTCCCATCCTTGCGGCCATCCCGGTTTTGCTGGAGCTGGTCCTGCCGTGGGTGGCACTGCCCCGGCACGGGGCTCCTGGGCGCTGCGGGGGGGATGCTCTGATGCTGCGCCAAAATCGCTTCTTTTTGCTGCAAAATTCAGCTGAGGGAACACATAAATCCCCAAAATTCCCCTTGAGGGATCTTCCATCCCCGTGAGAACCCTGATTTTGCAGGTTGGAGCTGGTCACGCCATGGCAAACACTCCCTGGCACGGGGCTGGTGGGCGCTATGGGGAGGCTGCTCTGACGCTGCACCAAAATCACTTCTTTTTCCAACAAAACGCAGCTGGGGGAGCACATAAATCCCCAAAATTCCCAGCTTTCAACCCCAAGGAGCCTGTCCCCGTGTCACAGCCGAGGTGCCATTGAGCCAGTGAAGGGCTGAGCTGTTTGTCACCAGAGCCGGGCTGGGAAGCGGGAGGGTAAACACGGATGAACAGCCTTCACCCGCTCCAGTAAATATTTTATATCCCACACCAAGAAAAGACACTCCTATTTAAATGATTTATCAAGGAAGATCATGTAGAGGTTTCCATAAAATATGTAGGGCTCCTAATCCCGACATCATCAAGCCAAGAGGACCAGAATCATTTATTACCTTCCCAACAGCCGCGCGGCTGCGGGGACACGACTGACAAATAAAAGTGTGTTTACAGCTTTTGGGCTCCTCTGGGGAGAGGTAAATCACGGCGGGGGTGGGAAGGGGAAAGGGAGCCGGAAATGAAGCGGCGATTCTTGTCCGTCAGGGCGGTGTGAGGCTGGGGATGTCACCCGGTGTCACCCGGTGTCCCCGTGGCGGCTGGCACGTGCTGGGAGCAGCGGTGCTGGTTCTCCCCTGGGGTTTCTAGGGTGGGTGTTGAGTGTGACCGCTCTGGGGTGCCCAGATGTGCCCAGATGTTGGTGCACGTTGAGTCTGTCGTGCTCTGTGCCAGGACACATCTGGGATGGGACACCGGCAGATTCGGGGTGGGACCTGCAGGGATGTCGCGCTGTTGTTGTGCTCACTCGGCAGTTTGGATCCTGGGGGTGGACACCAGCTACGAACCCCTCTGGGATGCCCAGATGTGCCCAGATGTTCTGCAGCTGGACAGGGATCAGCCGTCTGGGATGGGTTTTCCATGGCCACCGGCAGAATCGGGATGGGGTCACAGAGATCCGGCCTCTTCCCCCTCGGAGCTGGTGCCCACCCCATGCTCGCCTCTCATCCTCTGGATCCATTTATTATTTTTCTCCATCCTCTGGCACTCAATGTTCTCATCTCCCCAACCTTTTCACCCATTAATTGAGGATTTTCCCCCATTTCCCCAACTTTTTCCACCTATTTATTGAGGTTTCTCCCTCCTCCATTCCTCCGCCACTTCATGATCCCATCAGTGCATCCTTTTGGGTCCGTTCATTGAGATTTTTTTCCCCATTCATCCAACATTTTAGGTCAATTTATTGAGGATCTCCCCCCAATCCTCTGCCATTCCTTGATCCAATCACTGCATCCTTTTAGGTCCATTCATTAAGGATTTTCCCCCCATCTCCTCAACCTTTTTAACCAATTTATTGAGGATTTTCCCCCATCTCCCCATCCTTTTTTACCCATTTATGGAAGATTTCCCCCCATCCTCTGCCACTCAGTGATCCCATCCCCTCATCCATTTGCATTAATTTATTGATGATCATCCCCCCCATCCTCTGCCACTTGACGACTCCACCTCCCCATTCTTTTTTACCAATTTATTGAAGATTTCCCCCATCTTCCCATCCTTTTTTACCCATTTATTGAAGATTTCCCCCATCTCCCCATTCTTTTTTACCCATTTATTGAAGATTTCCCCCATCTCCCCATCCTTTTTTACCCATTTATTGAAGATTTCCCCCATCTCCCCATCCTTTTTTACCCATTTATTGAAGATTTCCCCCATCTCCCCATCGTTTTTTTACTCATTTATCGAAGCTTTCCCCCCACCTCCCCAACCTTTCTCACCCATCCATGGCTGATTATCACCCCCATCCTCTTCCATCACCCATCGCCCGCCCTCTCCCCGCACCTTTTGGCTCCGGTACCGAGTTTTTCCCCCGGTTCGGCGGCACCACGTCCCCGCCGGGATCCGGGGCACCCCGAGCCGGGCCGCGGGCGCTGGCAGCGGCGGCGATTTGGCCGATTTGGCATTCAGAGGCAGCCGTGGGGCCGGCGCCGCGTTATTAAGGGATTAGCAGGTTGTCTTGGCGCTCAATTGTAGATAAGTGCCGCGGTTTGTATTATCTTTTCACGCTGCACCGCGAAGGATGACAAAGAGACAACATGGGTGTCATGGCCTTCAGCATATCATTAAGGGTAATTTGTCTTGCGGGGAGGGGGAGGCGAAGGGAGAGGGAAGGAGAGGAGGCGAGGGAGGACAGGGAAAGGCAGCCTGGGAGGAGAGAGGGGATTAAAAACTAAGAGAGGAGATTAGGAGTGAAATGGGAACTGTATGGAGAGTCAGCCAGGCGGGGAGAGGCCGTGGCCGGGGAGGGGACGGGGGAGTCACCCTGGGACCGGCTCCGGTGCTGGGGGGCTTAAGAAAAAGCGGGGCTGGCATAGGCGAGGCAGGGTGGGGTGGGGGCTGCGCAGACCCTTCCCTTTCCCCCTGCACAGAACCCCAATCCCTGCCCAGCCTCTGTCACTGTCCATTAATCTAGAGTAAGGAGACAGCTCCAGCCGGGTGCCCCGGGAGGTGGGACACACCCCAGCGAATCCAGGGAATCCAGGGAATCCAGGGAATCCAGGGAATCCATCCCCTCTCCATCACCGACTGACCAGCGCCATCAGCCCTGGGGCTCCGTGGCTCGGTGGCAGCTCCTCGGTGTCACCTGCTCCTTGTGCCGCCCCACTCCTCGCTGTGACCCTGTTGTAACCCCACTTCTGGCAGCCTCCCCATCCCCCTGTGCCCCACGGCAGCAGCTGCTCCCCCCTCGCCGAGCTCCAGAGGGGAACGAAGCAAAAGGAGGAGCAGCAAGGGGAATTCTCGCAGGCCCGGGCCGGGCTCGCTCCATCGGTCAATCAATCAATCCATAAGGAGCACCGGCGTGGGAATCGATCAGTCGGGGAGATGGCTTTTCATGGGAATGGGAATGTGCGCCTGGAGACAGTGAGACGGAACCGCTCCTGCCACGGTCACTGCCACCGAGGTTTGCGGGAGGAGAAGCCCCGCGCCGGCAGCTCGCCCCGTGCCCCTTCCCAAAACACTCGGGGTGGGTAAATCCCTGCGGGCTGCGTCCCTCCGCCGCAGGGACCGGGTCTCCGGGGGCTGCGGACGGGGATCCACCCGCACCCCCTCCCTTCCTCCCTCCCTCCCCTTCTGATAATCCTATTTTTGAACCAGGGGATTAGGATCAATACTTCACTCCTAATGCTGTGGTAATACAGTGTTACACCGCCAGCGCCAGTTCCCTGCTGAAACACTTAAGGTAGTTTAAACCCATTTGTGCCGGGGAGTGCCGTGAATCCACAACGAGCTCCTCGCCCGGCCGAGCTGAGCCGGGTGCCAGCCTGGGGCTGCCCGCACGGTGCTGCCCGCGGCCAGTCCTGGCTGCTCCTGCTGGCCCAGGAGGATTCTGGTCGCCAAAAGGGCCACCCCGGGCGAGCGGCTGCGGGCACCGGGGCGGCTGCTGTGCCCTCCCCGTGCCCCGGGGGCAGAGGCTGCTCGTCCTGGGGATGCTGCTGATCCCAACGTGCCTCGTGCGGGGATCCCTCGGGGAAGGATCCCTCGTGCAGTGGAGCCCTGGTGGCTCCCCAAATTCTTGCTCTGCCCTGGGTGCCCCCAGCTCCAGCTCTGGGTGTCCCCAGCTCTGTCCCCCCAGCAGAGCAGCCCCTGGCTGGCCCTGGGGCTGGGGGATCCCGTCCGTCCTTCGCTCCAGATTGGCCGAGGGGTTTGAGCAGCTCCCGGGGAACAGAAACCAAAACATTTTCATCCCGCGCTAATTCATAATTAGCTCCGTTTTTATTAGGTGCTAATGGAGAGCGGGGATTTGGGATGCCTGGCACAGCTCGGAAATGCTGATTCACCCAGAGACCTCCCTTTCCTCAGACCAGAGCCTGCCTGAGGCAGCTCCTGGTCAAAAATTCCCAGCCCAGCAAACTCCAGGAATATCTCGGGAGCTGAGCGGCGGCTCGGGCAAACACCATCCCTGGGATCCGCGGCACGGAGCGGGCTGTGTCCCCTGCACACAACACTCTGGGGAGCCCCTGTCCCCACCTGGGGACTCCCTGACCCCACCGGGGACTCCCTGACCCCACCGGGGAGTCCCTCACGGGGCCCTTCCCTCCTCTGTTTCCCGGGAATGGGATGCTCGTGACATCTGGGATAAACTGGTCCCATCCCTCGCACTGGGGAGGATCCAGATCCGGCCCCTCTGCTCCGGATACTTTTCAATTAAAACCAAAATATCCCCTAATCACACACAGAGGGGTTTTTCTTTCCTTCCCTTTTTAATTTTTTTATTTTTTTTTTTTTAATAAATCTATTATGAAGAGCTTAGAGATGGATGCAAAACCGGCGAGGGACGATTTGAGGATTAGGGACCGGCGTGTCCTGCTGTGACGAGGAAGGACAATCCTGATGGGGTTGGGATCAGGCTGGGAAAGGCACACCGAGCCCAGCCAGGCCAGGAAGGGAAAAAACGGGATCTAGGGCCGGGAAAAAGCCTCTGGAGCGGGGAAGGGATTGCTGCATCCAGCAGAGCAGGAGGGGTCCCGGCCGACGGCTCCGGAAGAAGCAGCGAGATCCCAAATCGGCGCCCCCTGCGCCGTTCCAGCCGCTCTCCCAGCGGCTCCAGCCCCCCGCGTCCCGTTTAGCATAAAAGTCATTTTGGTCGGGGACCCCCGGCTGCTGCTCCCTCATTCCCAGGCAAAGGGGCCCCCCCGGGATGGCTGCGCGTTTAACCCCCCCGCCAAGGGGAATTGGCTGCTTCACCGTTTCCCTGACCCCAAAAAGACAATGAAATCGTGCACGAAACCAATAGATTTTAGCCACAGGCCTGCGGAGAGGCGAGAGGAATAAAATACAGATGGAGCCTCGTGCGGCGGGGATGGGAATGGATTCCGAGCGGGAGCCGGGACGTGCCGGGGCTGCCCGGGGTCGGGATGAGGTGACCTCCCCCCAAGTCCATGTGCACCTCACAGCCACGCTCTGGGTGGCTTTTGGGGCCCAATTCTGCGTTTCATGGAACAAAAAAATCCCTAATTTCTGCCCCGGCTGAGGCGCCCAGCCTGAATTTCGGAGCTCTTTTGGATGTTTTTTCAGCAGGTTCTGCCGGGTGATGGGGCTGGGATGGGGTGGGGACACCCGGGATGGCTCATCCCGTGTCCCTGCGGAGCTGGAGCCCTCCGAGGCTGCTCATCCTCCTGCCTTAACGCACCACCTCTATTTATTCTGCTCCTGTAACTGTAAAATTGATTTTCTTGCAACAAGCCGCTCGTCTTTCACCACCCAACGCACCCAAACGCTCCGACATAAGACACTGGCAATTTTTAATTAGTTTCCTTTCTCCCTCCTTCCTCCCCGAGCAGGCATGTGGAACCGGAACAGGGCAGCCTGGAAAGGAGCGGGATCCAGAGGTGACAAAAGCACTTTTTATCCTTGATATGATTATTAATAATACACTCATTTACCTAACGAGGCGGGAGCGCGGGGGGGGTGGCGCAGGGAGGTGATTAGTGCTTCCTTCAGCTGCAGGGATGGAGGAGCAGCTTTAACCACTGGAATCTTTAAACCTCGGCTTGGAGCAGCTCAGGGGTGCTGCCCCCTCCCCACAAACCCCCCCTGGACCCCAGCCCTGGCTCCATCCCCGCCCTGGCACAGTGTGCTGGGCGCTGCCGGTGTCCCCTGGGTCAGGGGTGGGAATTTGTCGGGACCCACCTGAAGGTGACCCCCAACACTCCCACGTGGGTGACCCCAGCCCAGAATTAACCAGCAAACCCACAGGGCTCATTACACCCCTCTGATAATGAGCCTGGAGTAATTAAAACCTCACTGGCTGTGCTGGGGGAGCCCCTCTGCTCTGCCAAGCTCCCCCTGCCCCTCCAGCCCCACAGGGGGATGCTGTGAGCCCCCAATTTGGGGGTCCCGCCACCCCGTGCCGAAGCTGCAGCCGGGTGCCAGCGCCACGTGTCCTCTGTCACCACCACCCTGGCCTGAGGTCACAGCCCCGTGTCCCCCCTGTGACCGTCTGGGTGGCAGAGGTGACCGCAGCCCCGAGCGTCCCGCTGCGGGAAGGGTCCCCGGGAGCAGGGAAAGGGCAGAGGGGCTGCAGGGAGGGAGCGAAACCCCTCTGCCCTCCACAGCAGCAGCGCAGGGACGCGTGTGCGCCCCGAGGAGCCGCCAGGGAAAAGTTACCGGGATGGGGAGGAGGGGGGGAAAGGGAGAATGAAAAGGGGGAAAAAAAAAAAAAAAAAAAAAAAAAAAAAGAAAAAGAAGAAAAAAACGGGGAAAAAGGGCAGGAAAGTCCTGCGGCCTTTTGCCTTGTCAGTTCTCCGTCTGCTGTCACTCAGCCGCCGAATTCTCCTTCAAGTTGTCATAGCGAGGCTGGCGGGGATTATGCCGCGGCTCTGTCCAGAATTGATTCATGTGGAACGCGTGCTTGACGGGCGGAACCGCTGGTGTGAGCGGGAGCCGCTGAGACCCCCGATTTTCCCACCTTCCTCACACAATCTGGTATTGTTTGGCCGCAGCCTTAGTGATCCCTGCGCCGGGGCTGTGACTGACACAGCTTTGAGGCTCTAAGGCGTATTTTGAATTTCTAAAACCTCTCAGGAAGTCCCCGGGGTGCCTTCTGCCATTGTCTTGTTTCTCCTTTCGCCTTTTTCCCTTTCCACCCCGAACCCCTCCTGCAT